TCCCTCTGAATCAGAACTGATCCCTAGTCTTCGGGAGCTCAGCATGCTGCCTTTCTGCTCATTAAAGCTCTCATGGACCTTTTCACAAGAGTAGGCATGCTTGTCTCTGTATCTCAGTAAGTAGCCATCTTACAATAGAGATCACTCCATTCCACCCATGACTTTAGTTGGATACAATATTATCCCTGAGCTGGTCCTGTTCAGGGCTGCTCAGAGCCATTGCTTAAGCCAGTTTCAGTCTGCAGCAGCACTGGATGCTTTCTGGTGGTGGGTAAAGTGGTCCCTCAGCAGCATTCTGGGGCTTCATAAAGTTTTCTGGGGTTTGCAGAAGGCACTTTGTAAATCGGTGAGCAAGAATGTCATGGGGTTAGACAAACAAGCCACGGAGAGTCTTGTTGAGCTGTGCTGCTTGCAACACATAAATACCAAGAGCTAAGTGTGCCCTTTCGATCTATGCATGGAAGGAACCAGTCTTGTGAGAGTCTTGTACTCCAGTCGGGGAGTTGGGGGTGGGCCTCAGTAACTACAACCCCTCCACTTACCTTGGATCCTTTGGGGCTGAGCAGTGGACAGTCCATGGTGGTAGTGAGTACATGGGGTGGCAGGCATGGTCAGGGGAGATATACATTTTTCCTCTTCCCCACAGAGCTCAGACCAGAAATGTAATACAGCCTAAGGTTGCGCCTTTCATGGCCCCTCTTCTAGGACAGGGATCCTCTTGTGGTGGGGGTGGGGCGTTGTGGCCAGCTGGAAAAGCTATTATAACACACTCCACTGTAGAGCATGCCAGGGACCCAGAGAAAGTGTTGAGGCACCAGCCCTCTTCCTGGATCTCTTTCAACCGTCTCCAGATTCTCTGGATCCATGAGGCCAGACCTATTGCCAGTTCCAGCAGGGGAGTAAACTCTGCACCCTGTCAGAACACTTTGGTAAGAATCCCCATGAAGGAGAACCTCACAAAAATTTCCTCCTGCTCAGCCCCTCCTGTGCGAGGGGGCAATCTGGCCTCTAGTTTCTTGAAGCACACCTCTTAGTAATAGCCGTATTTTGGACATCAAATGTTGCCTGACTACTGAGCAGCCACAGACAAGAGCAGGTCTATAGGCAATGGTCTCATGTCATTACGAACATGACTCATGTTAGATTAATGCCCGCACTCCCAAATATCAAGTCAGCCATGTCTTGCCATTGACGGGGAGGTTCATGTCCTGACCTTCTAAGCATATTAAAGAACAACATGGAATGTAACGAAGGCTTCCAGAGCATGCTAGTTGGTGGGGCCTGATCCAAAACCCAAGCAAGCAAGTGGGAGCCTTTCCATTGATACAACTGTGTTTTGGGTCACACCCCTGCTCATTTAGTTAATTAGAAGCAAGAGTCATAATTTTGACAGAAAGTTAATAAACTGGGTCTCAATCACTAATGGTTAAGAAAACGTTATTAAAGAACAGTCTGGCCAGGAGACACAGTTAACCTTGAAATTAGAAAACGATCCAGTGGGCGAAAAACACCCACAGACTACTCTGCTCAATAATACCCAGTATCTGGATGGGCAAAACAGTTTGGATACATGGCACTTGAATCTCCACAGAGATTGTGGCCTGGAATTTTCTTCCCATAAAATCAGGCTTTGCCAGCTTGCTCCTCTACTTCTCGGTACGCTTGCTTTCATCCCCAAATCCTTGGAATAACATTCCCTCCCCAGTAATCTGGAAGTCTCAAAAATTAATTTGAAAAGCTGCAGTTGTTCAACATCCCCACGGATGGAGTCGTCTTTCAGTAGCTGGAGAGTTGAAGTAGCATTTGTACATACAGTAGCCTTTTCTGGAAGGAAATAGATGAAATTCCAAATACCTTTGCCTCTAAATAGTAGTTTTAAATGGCTGACTTCCTGCTCTCTTGCTTTTACAACTGGGTTATTTTATGGAGAAGTTTTCTTTATGGTGCTGTCCTGATGTACACAACCCTTCCATTAATTTCAGTGGGATATGAAAGGGAAACAGGTTTGGACCCCTCGGGTATGTCTACATTGCACACTGAACCTTGGGTCTTTTATCCCTGTGTAGAGATACTTTCTGAGACTCGGTCCAGGCCCTGTTATTCTGCAGTGTGGACATAGTTAAAGCTGCAGACCTGAGTCAGAAGGTCTGCATGGTGCAGCCATTAGCATGGCTCTGAGATCCAGGTCTACGATGCAACGTGGATGCTCAAGCATGGGCTTGGAAACACAGACTCCACAAGGCCGGGTCCCACAGACCCAGACTTAGTGTGCAGCATAGGTATAACCTCAGAGCTGTGGGGTATTTGTTGACTGATGGAGGCCTTGTTGATTTGCGGTTAACCCGTAAAAGGGCCTGATGCTAATCCCATCAATGTAAAGGGAAGGACTTTGATGGGCCTTTAGATCAGGCCCCAAATTAATAAACTGAGACCCTGTATCCAGCCTTGGTGTATTGTGCCCAGACATGAGAGTATATACATCAGTCTGGACACAATACTGGAGCTTAGTGAGAGATTTCACCTAGTAAACCTACAGGGCTTTAGGCTCTGGCTAAAACAGCACTTCTCTGTCCATCCAAATGGATGCTTGTGCTCACAAGGCATATAGGCACATCCAGGCAGGTGGAAATTTAGCCCTGACAGGACTGTCAAAGGTCTAGCCCTGCACAGCATTTGCACACATGCACACCTCACAGAGATTTTCAAAAGGGGTTTTGGTGTACCAGACTATTTTATCACCTGCTATGTCTGCACCTTTACAGCCTGACCTGCTTCCATCAAGACCAAGAGTTGCCAAGGCATCACTTGCCTTAGCTCCCTATGTTGCAGGCCTGAGAGCAGACAGGACATCCGGCTTGATGCTGAACATAAGCTTGATGTAGATGGAATGGCTGAAAGCCACTTCTCTGTTTCCCTGATGCTGGCTCTGCCAGGACCAAAATGGCCTCTGAAGTAATTTAGAGCAGCCTAAGGGCAACTCTAAATTGTGCTAGCTGGAATGGTCCCATAAGGGTTCCGTGCCTGGCTGAGGATTGGGCAGAACACCATACACGCCATCTCCCCCTGCCCCCGACACACTTTGACCCCTCCCTTATGATTCAGCTCTAAGAATTGGGTTAAAGAATCCATCCAACATCTTCATTATGGAAGCCCCAAATAAACTAAAAATATATATATATATATTCTTTGCCGCTTGCAAATCTCATAACCAATGCAGCGTGTTTTGTTACCCTTTTGCCCAAGGGAGTTTTAGGAAATTATTTTTCAAAAGTTAATTCTTTTGGAAAAACTTTAAAAATTACTAGGGGAAAATTGGGTTTCTGCACTTAGGAGGAAAGGTGAGAGTTGAGTGAAAGATGAGTGCTCTGAAAATGGTTGGAGTTCTGAATACATTTCACTGTTTACTGATTTCAGCAGGAATTTCTTGGGACCCGACTGCTAAACTGCCAGACTTCAATCAGTTGCAAGATGGGCAGACTAGATAATAATGTACAAGTCTGGTCTCATAAACCAGGAGTCTGTTTAAAGCCAGCAGTGTTTTGATTCTTTTTCACTCTACAGCTGCCAATTTCCATAGCTTTGAAAGTGTGACACAGCAAGTCTGCAAGCTTCAAGGAGAGAAAGGAAAGCATGAGATTAGTTTATGGCTGGTTTGCAAACCTCAGACAATCAAAGGGGATCAAATAGCTATTCCGTTCTATCCAGGTCTTATACTGTGCTTGCTGCTTTGGTATCCGAGTGTCTAGATTTATCTAATCTACCGGCATCAATAAGCTTTCAAAGGTTATGAAACGAGTGCTTAGACTTGAGTGTAATCTTTACAAAGATGTAGTTGCTTTGGGTGGAGGAAACATTAATTTCCAAAATCCCAAATGACAGAAGATTGCTTTCTAGAACAGTTTCGTTACTAGTGCTATTTTAAAATTTACATATATATATATTTTAAAGGTAAAGCAATGTTACAGTTTGTTTATATACAGATACCTATATAAATAAATGTAATGATGCTGTACATCTAAAATGTAGCTTTATTACTAATAACATATTAGATTATTATTGAAATAATTATATGCATCTGATTGACTGTTCACTAACTATCCTCTCTGTTTACTGTTTGCACTTCACTCAGCTTGAACAAGAAAAATGAGCTCGTAAGTTCCATTCTTTCCTAGTCTGAATCTAGTCACTTTAGCATTCTTGTGCCCTAGCACAATGCTCCAATGCTCCAATACTCCAAGGTTATGTTTAAAGCCAAGTGAAAGCTCGTTTCATTGAAAGTTAATAGAAAATTTCCTAGTAATCCCAGTTGGTTTTACAGAAGAGAAATGTTGGACATAAACTTTTGTGACAATATCCCTTTAATATGTATGTTCTCCTGATATGCATTAAGTAGGAGATAAATTGTATGTTGCTCATGTTGGTGAGAACTCATTCTCTCACTACGGATTGCAGTGGGATGACTGGAGGTAGGAGTCCCCTAATGTAAGTTAGAGTTGGGCCATCTAGCCTGGTACTTGTAGTATCTTTACAAGGACACCATGTAATCATTCTTCCTTCCGTTTCATTTGTAAACTGATGCTGCACAGAACTGCTCCCCACTCCCGCCCCTCGCCCCCCTTTAATTTCCTGGCAGTGGAGTGACAGAGAAAATGTCTCGATGTTTAGAATCCAGAGGACTTTGATTCATTAGAAATCAGATCCGAAAAATTTTAAGGTAGCAAAACTTCAGCATTTCCAGCTTATGTGACATTGATGTTACGTGATAGCAATTGTAATGTGATTCGAGATGCCTTCCTACACTGTAATACTGAATGTTCACAGTTTGGCTACCTGGTAACTCCTCAGCTAAAAGTAAATACTTGATTTTTCCTTTAAACTCCCATCTGCTACAAGGCTACTGCATCTTGCAGTTGAAGTGGGCTGAAGCTGAATCACTGTGGGTCTGTCTTTTAATTATGGAATTGCTTTCATTTCCTTCCATGGTGTTTGATTCTTTCCAGCTTTAAAAGATTCCAGTAAGAGATCCATTAACAGCGACTGGAAAATTGAGCTTCCTGGTGAGTTTCAGATCGCAGGCACTACTGTCCGGTACGTGCGAAGGGGTCTGTGGGAGAAAATGTCTGCCAAAGGACCAACTAAAATACCACTGCACTTGATGGTAACTTTATATCCTTTGTTTATGTTTCTTAAGTGATGCAACATAAAGGGTTTATATCCAAGCTCACAGTTCAACTTAAACTATTTGCTTCCTCCCCAGGGTTTTAAGGAAAATCTATTGCTTCTCCCCCTGATTTCTTTTGCAGGGTTACAGGGGGCAACACTTACATCTCACTTAAGGTCTATTTTGTGTCAGCTTGCAATCTCCGTAGAAGCTTCATACTGTGATGTACATTACATAATGAGACATAAAGAAACTGGTATGGACCCGGTTTTTCAAGGGCTTCTGCGTTTTGTGCCCATAACCATTTGCACATGTAAAAGGACATTGGCTCAACTTCCTAGTTGACTCACACCAGTGTATGTTTCTCTGTTTAAATTACCTTTTTCTCACACAGGTAATAAAAGGTACAAAACACATGACCTGTGCAAATTTGGCACTGTATCTCAATTTACACACGCAAATCATCTTGACTTATATATTGACTAGGTTGAGAACTGTTACATTTCTTTGCTCCGGTTCAACATAGACTTTCTATTTACACAGGATGTTCTTTTGTAAACACTGAAGCTGTATGAGTCAAGAGACCTCCTGGGTCAAGAGATTAGGAATCTTTTCCCAGCTTTGTCTCTGGCTCAGTGTGTAATTTGGGCCGAGTCATGTAATCTCTCTCTGACTTAGTTTCTCCATCTATAAAATGGGGATAATAATACCCTGCCTCCCATGGATGTTAATACATGAGTGTTTGCAGAGGGCTTTGCAATTCTGGGATGGAAGACCCTATGAAAACACAGTGTATTGTGAAGTAGGCACTGCTTCCTCTAACTTCTATTTTCTGTCCACTTTAATTTTTCTAGGCACTGTTTCCTTTCTCTGTGACTTTCTTGCCAGGATCTGCCTACCCCAGCCCTTCTTTAGACACGGCTAAAAATCAAATGGCTCTCTGCTTTTCCTCACCTAAATTTTTTGGGCCCCTGTTAAATCTGCTTTGCGCTGTTCTAGTTTTCATTTTCATTGTACTGTTTGAAGAGCTCAGAACTGCCATGAACTTTTCACAAAAACGGTATAAGACTAATAACCCTTCCCTCTTCTCGGTGCTTTTCACATGCAGCTCTCAAAATGCTTCACAAAGGAAGGGAAGCGTTGTTATCCCCGTTTTTGGGAAGAGGTGTGGAGTGACTTGCACAGGTCACACAGCAGGCCAGTGGCAAAGCTGAACTGAGACTATTCCTCAGTATTCAAAAGGGCACATTTGAGGATTCTTGCAATTCCCTAACGTATTCATGAAAGTCATGATTTGGGCATGTAAAGCTGAACATGTACAAAAGACTTGGGCCTATATTTTCTATTAGCTCTTTTTAAAAGTCAAATTTCCATGGTGACTTCTTCAACATTAAGCATGTCAGCTTCACAATTTTGCTTAGATCCAAACTTTCCACCCTGAAACCAAACCCCTTACAAAGTAGCCTGTATACTACTGAAGAACTGTCTGTCCTCAGGGTACCGTATAAAATATGAATTTGCGTGAGCTCAGGTTTGTAAAAATGTGTAAGATTCCTGTGCCTTTTGTGGCTAGATCTGACTCTTCCAAGGTTCTCCTCGGTTGAGGCTCACAGCAGTAGATTCTGGTGTTGTCATTTTGAAAACTTGAGCATTGCTGTGTATCTTTTTTTTAATGGAAACAACCCCCCCCCCTTCCCCTCAATATCCAACAAAACAACAAAAATAAGGATTGTATTACTAGGAAGCTTCTCCCTAAGCCCTATTCATTATACAGTAGAAACCTCAGAGTTACGAACCCCTCAGGAACGGAGGTTGTTCGTAACTCTGAACAAAACATTATGGTTGTTCTTTCAAAAGTTTACAACTGAACAGTGACTTAATACAGCTTTGAAACTTTACTACGCAGAAGGAAAATGCTGCTTTTAACCCTCTTAATTTAAATGAAGCAAGCACAGAAAGTGTTTCCTTACCTTGTCAAATCTTTTTTTAAAAAACTCCCTTTTTTTAGTAGTTTACGTTTAAACACAGTACTGTACTGTATTTGCTTTTTTTCTTCTTGTTGTTGTCTCTGCTGCTGCCTGATTGCGTACTACTTCTTCGAGTGCTTGCTCGTGGCCGTTCCAAGTGCACGGTCGTTGGAAGGTTTTTCCCCTAGCGGTATTCATCAGGTTGGCTGTGGAGCCCCCTGGAGTCGCGCCTTCCTGATGGTGTATATAGGTCCCTGCCGACCCACCACCTCTTCAGTTCCTTCTTACTGCCAGTGACGGTCCTTGGAGCAGCTCTCTTCCCTTGCTCTACAGCAAGCAATCACCTAGTGGGCTTTCTCTTGTTGTGTATGTAAATAGTTAAAAACTTAGTATTAGTTAGCTTTCAGTCGTTCATAGTTAAAATAAGTTTTAGTTGGGGATCCTCCCCCTACCATGTTTTCCCTCCCAGGGACCGGGGCATGCCTGGGTCTCAGAGGTTCAAAGCCTGTGGGTCCTGTCTGAAAGCCTATGCCAAAGGGGGACCCACACAACTCCTGCTTTCCAGCCTGGTTCTGCTGGCCAGTCAGTATTTACTAACCCCATGGTTGGCCGCTTTCTCAAAAGACTAGATAACTGTACCCTCAAGTAAGACAGCTGATCCCCCCATGAGATCTCAACCTGGTGCTCTCAAGGTTGATGGGCCCTTCTTCTGAGCCCCTAACAACATGCTTTCTCCTCTGTCTTTCCCGGAAAGTGGCATTTCTGATGGCTATAACTTCGGCCAGGAGGGTGTCTGAGCTTAAGGCCTTGACGTCCGAGCCCCCTTATACTGTTTTTTTTATAAGGACAAGGTACAGTTGTGGCCACACCCGGCTTTCCTCCCAAAGGTAGTTTTGCATGCAAATCAGGACATTTTTCTTCCAGTGTTCTTCCCTAAACTGCATTCTAGTAACCGGGAACGAATGCTCCACTCCCTGGATGTCAGACGAGCGTTAACTGTTTACACTGAGTGGACAAAGCTGTTTAGAAAATCAACACAACTCTTCATCACAATTGCTGAGCGACTGAAAGGGCTTCCAGTGTCATCCCAAAGGATCTTTTTATGGATCACGACCTAGCAAAGATATCTGCCCCAGCATTAACAGCACACTCCACAAGAGCGCAGGCTTCCTCAGCAGCACTCCTGCCGCAGGTCCCCAGGCAAGACATCTGCAGGGCAGCGACATGGTCATCAGTCCCCACCTTTATGTCGCACTATGCCATTACTCAGCAGGCGAGAGATGATTCTGTATTTGGCGGAGCAGTGCTACGGTCTGCGACTCAGTGAACTCCAACTCCTCCTAGGAACTGCTTGGGAGTCGCTTACTTGGAATCGACATGAGCAAGCACTCGAAGAAGAAAAAATGGCTACTTACCTTGTTGTAACTGTTGTTTTTCGAGATGTGTTGCTCATATCCATTCCAAGACCCACCCGCCTCCCCTCTGTCAGTGTATCCAGCAAGAAGGAACTGGTTCCAAATGCAGTGTGTGGTTGACCGGTCAGCTCATAACTCTGAGGTTCTACTGCAATACAAACTGACTTTTCAGTCTGCTATTAATAGGGGTGATTTTTCCTTTCTCTCCCCCTTCCTCAGATAGAGACCAGTATCAGACCATTAGAACAAACATGAAGCCCAAAGTCATTGGGAGAATAATAAACAAAGCTCACTTAAAACAGCATGTAATTTATTTGAAACTCTTTTCTCGAGTCAAATATTAATCTTTCCCCTGAAATAGGATAGTGTTTTTAATTCTTTCAACACAAGAATGAAAAGGATGGTTACCAGTTACTTCTAAATAGAAAACTGTTGTCCAAACAACGGTGGAACACACTTGACTGACAAAGAGCCAGAAGCCTTACTGAATCCATTGTGACCTGCATTTGAAATCAATTACACGTACACACACACACATGCATGAACACACACACATTGCATGTGGCTATGAAATTGGTTTCATATGGGCCGTTAGATTCACTCATTTTGTTTCCATACTGAGATAATAAGGATCTCATTTAAGGAGCTGTTTTTTAATACTTGGAGCATTTCTCCAAATGTGTTACTGTACGTATATTTCTTTGATGAATGAATGAATGTTTGTGTAGCTAGGCCTATGCTAGACCTCCTCTTGGCAACAGAGGGCAACCAAACACTCCTGGAGCACAGAGATGCTTTAAACATGACTCTTTCCGTAGTGCAATAGATGAGCTGCTCATACCTCGTGTCTTAAATAAAGTCAGGACAGGAACTGAGTTCTCTCCTGACTGTTGCCTAATGTTTTGGATTCTGCAGAAAGCTTTGTAAACATGATGATCGTGTGGTCCATCGCGGCCTTAACTTTGGCTTCAAGCTAAGAATAAAACATACCTTATAGTGATAGACTTGAGTGCAATCTATTTAGCTTAACAAAGAGAAGGTTATGGGGTGACTTGATTACAGTCTCTAAGGAGGAAGAAATATTTAATAATGGGCTCTTCAATCTAGCAGAGAAAAGTCTAACACGATCTATGGCTAGAAATTGAAGCTAGACAAATTCAGCCTAGAAATAAGGTGTCATTTTTTAACAGTAAGAATAATTAATCATTGGAACAATTTACCGAGGGTCACGGCAGATTCTCCTTCACTGACCGTTTTTAAATGACGGTTGACTATTTTTCAAAAAGATCAGGTCTAGGAACGTTTGTGGGAAGTTCTATGGCCTGTGCTGTACAGGAGGCCGGTTTAGATGATCACAGCAGTTCCCTCTGTCCTGAGAATCTGTGAAAAACAGTTTCCTCTGTAACCAAAGCAAAAACTTGTCTTTGTTTCCCACTCCTCATGGAAGGTACTTTTCTGTCCGGACTTGTTTACTGTGGAGATCAACTAAACGGTGCAGAGAGCCTGCTGTCCTTACAGTGCTCATCGTACAGATATACAGGGAGTCAATTGCTGCAACTCCAGTGGAATTGGGCAAAATTTTTCAGATCGTTTATTCATAGAAGTGTAGTTTTGAGTTGACTGAAACTATTAGCAAATTTGGGTCCAGTTTAGCAAATAGTTTTGGCTGGAAAAAATTTGACAACAGTCAAAACATTTTGCTTCAGTTTCATTAAAATGAAACTTTTCATTTTGAAGTCTAGTTGGGATTTATTTTGGAAAAAAACTAAAAAAAGATGGAAACTAAAAAAATGGAAAAAACAAACAAAAACAATTCTTTCAAGTCAACCTGCAATAAAATTTTGGGGAGATTTTTTTGTTTCGGCTACTGAACCAAAATATCAATTATTCAGACAGCTTTAAACTCAAGTCCAGACTTCCAGCACATGTACAGTCATTTTATGCCCCATCCCAGGTCAGAGGTGCTTATAAACCCTATTTGATTGGGGTTTTTTAGAGGGTTGAAGATGTGTTTCCAGAACAATGAAGAGTCAAAAAGGAGCGTACCTGTGGGTGCCTGGAGGGTTCCTGTTCAAATCATTGTGTTAATGCTACTGGGGTTATATTGTAATAGTAATTATGTCTGTTTTTAAAAATCACAGAGGCCACATCCTCAGCTGGGTGTAAATTGCTATAGGTCCATTAACTTCAAAGGAGATACTCCAATTTATACCCCCCCCGAGAATCTGGTCCAGAAAATAGATGTGCTCCAAAGTCAGCTAGTAAAGCCCTCCCGCCTATCTTTCATCATAGAATATCAGAGTTGGAAGGGACCTCAAGAGGTCATCTAGTCCAACCCCCTGCTCAGAGCAGGACCAGTCCCCAATGTTTGCCCCAGATCCCCAAATGGTCCCCTCAAGGATTGAACTCACAACCCTGGGTTTAGCAGGCCAATGCTCAAACCACTGAGCTATCCCTTTTACATAGCACAGTAATTCAGATAAAAGATGCAGTGGGTCTGTTTCTTATCTCTCACTGGTTTTACACCAGTGGGACTCCTTTTACCAAAGTTACTCAGTGAAATCTGGCCCAATGTGTAAATCCAAGTAGAATCGGAACTCCACGCCCACTGTGACTAATAATGAGGCACCCTTTTATAGCCCTCCTTTTGTTTATAGTGGTCCCTTTTAGTGAATTTCACAGAGTAGAGAGGCTGGAGAGGTCATACATGAGCCTGTTAGAATCAGGTTTCACACCTCAGCATCACTGCAGCGGCGCCTTGGAGAAGTGAGAACTTGGATGGAACCACTGATGTCACTGCCTGATGTGAAAAAGCCCAGCGTCTTCTTTCTTTCTTCAGAAAATACCTGCGTGTAGGGAGAGACAGTCATATCCCATTAGTGAGGTTTGTCAGTTAGCCCAGGACAGGCTCGTTCTTGTCAGCACCATTTCCCATGGTGATGATTTGACTTGTTTATTGATTAAGCTGTTAAATGCGCATCTCTGCAGCATTAATAAATTCCTGTGCCATGAAAGTGTGAAGTGATATGATGTTAAACTCAAAAACCCCTCTCTCTCCCAACCCACTGCTCCTTCCAGAAGGTTAAATAAATAGATCAGCCTGGCAGCCAGCCTGACTTCCCAAAACAAATTAAGGCACGTATGATGAATGGCATCTTAATTCCATGCAATCGTTAACTTAATTAGTTACTATATGAACGTCAATCTGATTTAATGTTTCCTGCTGTCGAATTAATTCTGTTTTGAAGCCAACTCATCACATTTGACACCAAAAAAAGCGACGGCCAAATTTTTCAAAATTGAGTACTTAACGTTAGACACCAAAGTCTGGTTTTGGACACCTCCATAAGTTGCTTGATTTCTCAGAAGTGCTGAGCACCAGCTCTCATGGTTTTCCTTTGTGTCAGCACCTCTGAAGATCAGGCCACTTTGATTTTCAGGGCCTAAATAAGGATTTGTCTGCCTTTCTTGCAGCACCCGTCTTTGAATGTGTTGGCCTGAGACAGCATGGCTTGCTTTGCCGTCTCTGCGCTCTGTTGGCTTTTCACAGTGTACCATAACAACCTTTCTTCTGCTGCTGAACCAGGTGCTGTTATTTCACGACCAGAATTATGGAATTCATTACGAATACACCATTCCTGTAAACTATACCGCTGAAAACAGAAGCGAGCCAGAAAAACAACAGGATTCTTTGTACATCTGGACACACAGCGGATGGGAAGGATGCAGTGTGCAGTGTGGAGGAGGTAAGGCCATTTGGGAATGTGGTGGGATTGTTTTGTACAGTGTTTGCCAAGGCAGGCAATAAAGAGAGGTGAATGCAGAACACAGGCTGCAGCGCTGCCAAAGCACAGACATCACGAGGAGGGCTAAGGTACGGAAATGGCTGTTGGCATGGCAATTGGGTGAAACGAAAGCTCGCTTTCACCAGATCTACAAGTTAGCAGCAGCCGTGCAGTCTGTTCTCGGCCAGTGTTCTGGCAGGGCTGCTGCTTTGTCGGTTCATTATTATGCAGTGGAACTGCACCTGGTTTAGTGCTTCACGGATGGCTCAAGGCACTTATATGCAGCCCCATATCTCAAGGCTCAGTCAGATTCTTGGAGCAGCGTTTTCACAGGCATGCATGCATATTTGCTGAAAGAAGCTTCCTTCTCCGAGGATGAAGTAGGAGCAGTCCCACTGTGACAATTTGCTGTAGATTGCATCAGAAACCCTCAGCCAGCTAACCACATTAGCACCCTGCAGATCACACTTTTCATTTGATTTTTCCTGGGGCATTCTGGGATAGATTCATGAAGCCAGAGGGGGACTTGACCCTCATGGAAGACAGTTAAGGCTGCATCTGCCACTAAATGTTGACTTTCCGTATATGGGAGAGGCAGCTTTAATTTCTCCCTAGGGAATCAGGTCACACCCCGGCCAAGCTCCTTTAACGACTAGCACTGAGTGGTTGGTGCCAGCTTCAACAATTCATCCCATTATGAAGATACCACAAAGGAGTTAGAATGCTCAGTTTAAAAGCCTCACTCCTTGTCAGGTTTGCCACCCTCAGGATCCTCCAACCTCACTAAATGCCTGTATTTTTCTTCTTATAAAAAAGTTGATTTAAAAATTGACTCGTTTGCTTTCCTTTTACAGTAACAATTTCTCCCAGTCATTGAGCCCTCACAAGAGTGAATCTTAAACCTGTTGACAGGGCTTTACAATAGGCCTCCCACACAGTTAGTGTCACAAATATCACCTTCTGGCAATATGAATCCCACCATCAGTGGGCTCAGATATGTCAGTTCTTAAACACTTTGGTTTTCAGACACAGTCCAGTACTTGTTCTTGGTGGAAAGGTCTTCTTCCCTTTGGGACTTTTAGATTGGGACTCATTTATGGTTCTAAAAGTGATCAGGGGCTTAATTCACACTGGACTTTCCAGTGACAGGTTTTAATGGATTTTCTGTTGCTTGGTCATACATCACAAGCGTTCGGTTTGTCAAGTATATAAAACAGGCAGACTTAAGATTATAATGGGAGACGCTTGAGGCATTTCCCCCAAATAAATATCACTTGGGTAGGTTTGCATGGTGAGATGGTGATGTTTACATCGTGACATCATGATGTTAACTCGCCGTGTTGAAAGGCAACTATGTGACAGTCACAACGCAACACCTTCACGTCAAAGTGAATTGTTAAGCCCAAGGTGCCATGTTCATCAGTGGAATTGAGCCCCCTTCTCAGTTGATGCAGAGACATAGATTGCGTGGAAATAGTAGAACCATTCTGGAGTGTGGTGTCTTGAGCCTGAGTGTGAAATTTAAGGATGAAGTTCTCTGGAGGTTGGACAACAACCAAACCGCCCATGATGATACCAATAAGATTTGGGGGAAATATCCAAATATATTACAGAAAGTGCACAAGCTGCCTGTGGCCAGACGAAATGAGGGAAATTGGTGGTGGCCCCGTGACATGCAGGAAGCAGTAAAAAAGAATGGCAATGGCAGAAAATAAGAGTGATGATAAGTTCTAAGTAATACAGACTGGTACAGAAAATAGCTAAAAGAGCAGTTGCAGAAACAAAGGGTCAGCCATTTAAAGGACTACTCAGGACTACTAATGAAGGAAGGGGGAAAAGGAATATGTAGATTAGCCAAGATTAAGCAAAGAAGCTCAGAGAACTTGGGAGCTGTGAAGTGTGTCAAAGATGAAAATGGAAGAGTACTAAGGGAAGATGGTGAAATCATCGGGCGGTGGCAGAGAAGAGAATGTGAAGAAACCATTGAGGAAAGTATGCACAAGCAAAAACTTGACAAGACCTGTCACCACAGTGGAGACTCAGTGCTAAAGATGATGAAAGGTGGGAAGGCAGTGGGAGCAGATGATGTACCAATTGAAGTATTTAAAGCATTAGGCCATGAAGTAGTGGTGATGATGACAAACTTTTTCAATTTAATTCTCTGTACTGGAAAAATTCCCGGCTGGTGGAGGAAAAGCACGTTGGTCACTAACAGGAGATGTGCAAGCATGGAGTCATTACAGACCCATCAAATTGATGAGTCACTCAATGAAGTGTCTGGAAAGAATTATTGAGAAAAGACTTCAGGAGGCACTGGAGCATCAACTCAGTGACAAACAATTTGGGTTTGTCCCAGGAAGGCCAACAATGGATCCCGTGTTTGCAGGAGAAATATGGAGAGAAACACAAGGAATTGCACTGAGTGTTCATGGATTTAGAGAAGGCTTATGGCTGAGTTCCTAGACAATTGTTATGGAGGTGCCTGTGGGTGCATAATCTGCTGGAGTCATGCGTTCAGACTATCATGGACAAGTACGAGGGTAGCACAACAGTAATGAGAAGCAGCTATGGCTACAGTGAGTCATTCACTGCAAGGGTAGTCCTACTCAAGGATCAGCCCTTAGCCCTGTCTTATTTGTGATGGCAATGAACACCTTGATGCAGGAAATTTGGAGAGAGGCTCCGTGGAGCATGCTTTTCACTGACACTACATTGTGCCCTGAAGATAAATATGAACTGGAAACGGCCGAAGAGCTGTGATGGGCTGCATTAGAAGAAAATGGCTTACGCATCAGCTCACAAAATATGGAGTACATAGAATGCTTTGAGGGACAACAAGAAGCCAATAAAACTAGATGGTCTCAAATTAAAGTCCATGCAACAATTTGAACGCCTGCAGTCAGTGTGGAGCCATGATCAGAATGTGGATGTTGATGTTAGGAGCCACATGAAGAGCAGTTGGTGGAAGTGGAAGGAGTGATAGGAATTCTTTGCAATAAGAATATGCAAAGTAAACTAAAGAGCAAAGTGAATTAAGAGTAGGATTAGGCTGGTTGAAATGCTGGCCAGTTTGGAAGAGAGAAGAACTACCACCTCACACTGCCAGATTGAGAATTCTGAGTCAGATAAGAGCTGATAAGCTATGCAGTGAAACAGTAGGAGCCATGATGAAGATCCCCCCCATCATGGAAAAACCGAGGGAGTATCGGCTGGGTCATGTGAGATGATGAGATGTGGGATATATTGGCCAGAGACTACATGAGCTTGTAGTCACGGGACAGAGACCTTGAGGAAGACCTTGAAGAAAGTGATTTGAGACACTGAAAGAGGACTTGAAAAAGGTTGGTGTCAGCTTGAAAGATGCAAAGTTATTGAAGGGGGGCAGGTCATGGTATTGCCACTCTTCTGTCCTGCCTTCAGAGCTGGGAGGCTGGAAAGTGGCAGCTGCTGGCCAGGCGCCCAGCTGTGAAGGTAGTACCACCATCAGCAGAGCAGAGGTAAGGGTGGCAGTGGGCAACTGGAGAATGGCAGCTGCTGGCCGAGGGACCAGTTCTGAAGGCAGCAGCGCAGAAGTAAGAGTGCCAATGCCATACCAGGCCACCCTTACTTCTGCACTGCTGCTGGCAGTGATGCTGCCTTCAGAGCTGGGCTCCCAGTCAGCAGCCGCCCCCTCTGAAGGCAGAGCCGCCCAGCTCTGAAGGCAGCGCCGCCGTCAGCAGCAATACAGAAGTAAGGGAGCCAATACCATGACCCCACTACAGTTACCTTGGAATGCCCCCTCTTTTGGGTCAGGACTCCTACACTTACATCCGGGACATTTCAGATTTAAATAGCTGAAATCATTAAATTTATTATTTTAAAAATCCTATGACCGTGAAATTGACCAAAATGAACAGTGAGTTTGGTAGGGCCCTAATCACTGTGCAAAGATTTGAACCTTTGCTAATGGGACAGAGCAGCCCAAAGAGAAGGCAGCAGAAGACAGAAACATCCACAGAGATATTAGTTCTGTATGCTATAGGTAGAGGTAGGCAGAAAGAATTAGCTGTAGAGGAGATTTGTTAACTATTTAAGATCAACTTGTTATTTAACAGCCTCCAGCAATTCACTAGCTTACTGGTTTGCCATTGTTTTTGGTTTGACTTTTAGGTGAACGTAAAACCATTGTGTCCTGTACTAGGATCGTTAACAAGACCATGATGCTGGTGAATGACAGTGACTGCCAGCGTGTGATGCGCCCTGAACCCCAAATCAGAAGATGTAACACACACCCCTGCCAGTCACGGTAAGGAGCTTAAAAAACAAAATCAACATCCCTATTTCTTGCAACCACCCTTCTCCAAAGCATCTCTCCACTGAACACCATCAAAGTGTCTGACAGCATTAGGGCATATGGTTAACTGCAATATCCAGCTGTAATACTCATTTTTCATTTGTTGAACAGATCAGATTTTCGTTACCTCAGAGTCCATTTAATTTGTGATCAGTACAACAGGATTCCCTGGAAGCTACATACATATATAATTTATTTGGGGATTGTGTTTTTTCTTCCCCTTAGCTGCATAATCTGGGAGACCAAATAGTTTCCTATATTTAGCTACACAATGTTGCAGTGATGGCATGTCTAATCTTGTTTCTTTATTCAATGCAAAATAGGGCTTGATTAGTTGTCACACCCTTTTGGAAAGAGAAACATGGCCTTTAAACCTTACCTGCTGTGAGATACCAGGGTGCAGTCCAGAACAGTGAGGTGGCTGTGTCACCCCTGCCCTGCAACCGGCCGTGCCTTACAATTCCTTGCTGAAGTAGCTCCCACGTGAGCCACTCACAAACAGCCTTCCAGCATGCAAGCTGGACCCTAAGTGTCTGCTTGTAGGTGCAGCCTGCCAGCCACACTTGGGTTACACTCTGGCTCTCACCAGCCTGGGTTATTCTGCAGAGTGACCCCAACACACTCCTAGTCTTAGATTTTCTCCCAGAAATATAAGTCCTGTACTGCCCAGCCCTCTCCTGGTAAATATAAAAGTCATATTTGGTTGTTATTTCTTGAAAAGAAATAATATGCACACAACTTGTCACCCCAAATGGAGTTTCCCAGACACTTCAATTTAAACCTACTGGATTAGATAAAACAATAAAACATGTTAATTAACCACAAAGAGAGATTTTGAGTACAAGGAATTGAGGCACAAAGGTCAGAAATGTTTACAAGAAAAATAAAGATAAGACATTGACTGTAATACCTATCTTCACAAACTGTATCAAATTCAAGCAGAGTTTCTCACCATACGCTTTCAGCAGTCTTCCTGATCAAACCCTGTAGGTCACGACCCCTTCTCCCAGAGTCCAATTCCTTTTTGCTTTCGATGGCATGAATGCAGTGGGCAGGGAGAAAGGGGCATCTTGCAGTGTTCCCCCTGGGAGAAAGGGGTATCTTGCAGTGTTCCCCCTTGGAGAAGCAGGACCAGCTGGGAGCAAGGTGACAGGCAGTCTGTGTAGAAAGGAACTTCCATGTTGTTCCTTTGCTAAGATGTAGATTTTTTTTTTTTTGCCCTTTTCCTGCCAAAGAACGGCCACTTAGCAGGTAATGGTCCATCAGCCTTGTTTACACCTGTCTGAGGCATCAATTTACCCTTTGTCTCTGAGGAACTGGTTTGGCCACTCCCCAGACTTCTCTGGAAAACCTTGTTTTTTAGTCATCATCTCAATTTACGTCTCTAACTTCACATATAATGCTGATATGTGCATTTTGCCATGATATTATTGATCAGCAAATTATGAGGTTTTAAATGATACCTTACAAGGCCTACTTTATACAAAGATTATTACAATAGCGTGTCAGGTGTGAACACAGGAATATATTCTGTCACATCTGGTCCTCTGCTGAATTGTGTGTCTGATCTACACCATCTGACTAATTTAGATTGCAAGATCTTTGTGTGTCATGCAGTTCTGAGCTCAGATCTTGATTCAGGAAATCACTTCTGCACATGATGAACTTTAAGCACCAGCTTAAGTCTCACTGTGCCTTGTATAGCTTCTGTTCAGACCTGTGCTGTCACTGAGTCACATTGGCCTTTCACACTCATTTCTGTGTACCACACAAGGGCTTTCAGGCTCAGAGCTCAACAGCAGGTGATTCCTGTAGGTACTGTGGTGATGGCTCCAGGTCTGCTTGATTCAGTGCACTCGTGCTTACCCGTTCCATTGTCTGCCACATACTGGGTCAGACCAAAGGTCCATCCAGCCCAGTATCCTATATTCCAACAGCGGCCAATGCCAGGTGCTTCGGAGGGAATGAACACAACAGGTAATCGTCAAGTGATCCATCCCCTGTTGCCCATTCCCTGCTTCTGGCAAACAGAGGCTAGGGGACATCATCCCTGCCCATTCTGGCTAATAGCCATTGATGGGCTTATCCTCGATGAACTTATCTAGTTCTTTTTTTGAATGCTGTTATAGTCCTGGTCTTCACAACATCCTCTGGCAAGGAGTTCCACAGGTTGACTGTTGTCGTGTGAAAAAATACTTCCTTTTGGAACAGCAGCAGTTTCACATGAGCCAGCTGGCCTTCTTCTCTTCTTTTGAATCTCCCCTTACAACCCACTGCTTTCCCAAAGCCCTCCTGTGTGAGCCATGTCTTCTGTCTCTCTAATGCTGTGTCTGCACTAGAGAATGGAACCCGTGAGAGAGCACCAGTGGCGTGCTGTGTCCACATAGGCCGTAGGCTGTTTCGGGTGAAGAACCGTTGCGCTTTCGCCTGGTCTCTGCACTGTTGCTGTTCTACAACATTGCAGTCACATTGCTGTTTAGGTGGGTATCTCACTGTTCTCAGCACAGCGCTCAGAAGCAGTGGCTTCAACAGACATCATAGGATACCATGTACACCCTTGGAACTGCGAAAGGAGAGGCCAGACTCCCAAAACGCTCAAGGAAATGCTTATAACTTCCACAGGGAAGTTGCATAACCGCACGGATGGTGCCGTTTCCAAGTCATTTTTTCAAGCAGGAGGCCTGAATGAACTCTTAGCTCATGATCCTTGCTCAGCAAGAAAGGTTTCCATTGGAAATTTTGAAAAGCCATTTGGAGGTGCCTGGAGTGGATGCAGACAATCCCAGGGAGTTCTGGCACCATCTCCACGGAGCTAGAGACTGAGATAAGCAGCTGACTAAGCTCAGCAAGCAATGGTCTGGCATCTTTCACCACCAGCCAAGTGCATTGTTGGAAACACACTTGGCTGTGCACACAAGGGGTACCTAGTGGGACCCAGATTGCACTTTGAATTCTTGGTGAAGTGTGTGTGTTGTTTTGCGCCTTCTCTACTGCACCTTGTACATTTACAGCTCTATAAAAATAATAAGCAATAACAATGGGCTAAGTTAAGGATGGAGTTAAATCACACACACACACCCCAGTGCTGCTAAGAAAGGGCCATTATCTTGGTATGTCCAAATTGCCCCACTTTTTTAGCCCCTTAACATTCTTGCAGTATAGTTTTTTCCTGTATGGAATTACCAGGCAACTTAGAGGCATAGTTCAGCAAAGTTCTCTTCAGAAGCAGTTTAGCCAGACATTGATGTTCTCATCAGTCCATTTTGTCAGAGCCATGGCAACAAACACCAAACGTGCTTAATACCCAGAAAAGGCCACAAACTCCAGCTGATGATGTGACAGACCACATGCTCTCCTTCGCTCCACGTAGACCACACTTTCACACTTCACGTGCTTTTGACTGGAAATATTTTCAGAAGCACATTCTCTGTGCCTCTGTAGAATTGAAATTTCCACTTGCATTTGCCCACCCAGATATTAGAAACGCATGCTTCGCATATTCTCTGACCAAGAACATCTTAAAGAAACTATTCTCTTTTACCATGTCAATGTTGTTGTTTTTTTTAATGCGCCCTGAATTAGTTTTAGGGTTTCAAGTAAAATTATTATAGCATCTTGTTACAATAAGGTCCTTTCCCATTTCCACTGAGCACTCCACTCTAGACTGGAATATAGAAGAAGGGAACAATGGCTTCTTTTTTGTAGTAAATCTTTTTTCTCTCATTGCTTTTAATTGAAGTTGCACAGGGTTTCTGGTACGGTGAATTTAAATAGAATTGCATCTACCTTATGAGGAATCTATTAGAAAGGTTAGTGTGGTTAGTGATAGGGCACTGGTTAGTGATAGGAGACCTGGGATCTATTTCTGGGTCTGGCAGTGACTTTTGGCAAGCCACTATTCCCTACTGTCCCTTTATTTCCCCTCTTGATCCTTGTCTACTTAGATCATAAGCTTTTTGGGGCAGAAATGGCAACTTACTGTGTATGTAACAGGAGGCTTCAATCTCTACTGGGGATTGTCATGCAAATAAAAAATAATCATCCACCTTAAACATTAGGTTATCTGCAAATAAATGCCTGTGATACTAATAACAGTGTCTTTCTTCCAAAACAATCCCCTAGTGCTTTGCAAATTATATATCCCTTTGAAATGCAGCCACCTCTTGGGAGAACCAAATAGAGTGGGGCAAGGAGCAGTAATTCCACGCAACCAGGGGTGAGGTTAGAACCCAGCCACTCCAGTATAGCATCTGTAAAAGGACACAATGAAACACTGAATGAAGAATTTGATACACTATTGTATGTTCAAATTAAATGTCAGAGAATAGAAAATTTTTTAAAAGTTTTTTATCGAAACTGGCAAAGATAAAAGACTCTTTCCTTCATTATTATTGTTACTCTTTCACCTTTTAAAAATGCCTCTTTTTCTTCCTCTTTTACTTTTTATGTTTCTTGACCCTCTTTTTCCATTCAGTTTTTTTATGGCTTCCTTTCCTGTCCCAACTGCACCCTGTTAGCACCTCTTTGTTCTAATCCTCTGCCGAGGCCTATAGATATTTCTTACGAAACCCTGCTGTAAGCATATGGAATTTGGATCCTTGCGTGCCACGTGGGTGGGTTGCTTCCAACACATTGAACAGCAGAACAAATGTATAGGCAAATCCAACACTGGCATTGGCATGAGGCTAAGAAATCAAAGATCACATCAGCTGTTATTACTGAAAACACAGGTTGGCCAGTGGCCACGCACTTCAGCATTCATGATCAGGGTCTGTGAGCAGGAAAACTACTTCCCCAAACACAGTAATAAAACCAAAAAGGCCAGAACTTGCAATGGCCTAGATGCAAACACAGTTATCTTGGTGGGGGATGGACAATTCAGTAGATGTTCAATTCTTGCAGGGAACTATTGGATTTGTTGCTGCTCCTGAACAGCTAGATAGCAACAGCAG